AACAAATCAATTCTCATTTAGAAAATTTGTATAATGATGAAAAAAGATTGTCAGAAATATATCTATAGTCATGTCATAACAACAGTTATCATTTCGGCTATCTTACAAGTATGACGTTTCTCTGGGCAATTCTTAGCTTGTTTCCTTATTCAATCAACTAATGGCCTGCAGGATGAAGAGTCCAACAGAACAGATCACGAACACCCGGTAGACAATACGTCTTGGCACTCGTAGGTCATTGTGGCGTTGAAAGGGAGTAACTTATAGGGGCATTGGGAATTACCAGTTTATTATTAGGGAGATAGCATAGAGGGCCAAGATCAGGGGTTGCTGTTAATTCTCCTAACACTTGGCTCCCCGGAGAGAACACGCTGCCTTAAGACTTCCTCCTTCTCGACTCATCCCACTGTACGGCCGACATCTTGAATCGCTGCCGTGTTAATTAGTACGACTTTAAACGCGCCCGCATGTGGTAGCAATCGGGATTCCCTGAAATGGTTTCGGCGCTACCTTCCGGAAGATGTTAAGACTGATACGCAATCTTAGGGTAAAAAATTTTAGTATGCGTGTACGTGTGATTGCGATATTTCTGCAGATTCAATTTCAAGCGAGACCATTACGTTTCGTAATATGACTTGTGCTGCAATCATGTAGCCGATAAAATTTAATATCTCTGATCCCCTTTCTTTCCTTCTAAATTGTGTTTTAGATTAAGATTTCATAAATGTCATGCTTTGATCGAAATAAGTTAAGTTTTCTATTATTTTTATTCCGATTTATATTTATTGATAGAATACGAAAGGAGGAAAAAATAAGAACAAGGAAGAAGAAATTTATAATTTATAATATAAGAAACGAAATCAATGCGACAACGATATTTAAAAAAGGCTATAACTATTTTCCGATATTTCGAAAGGATTTAAAAACAATTTAGCATAAGAATATTTTTGTAGAAATATAGACAAAAACATATTTAACTAAGTTAATTATTCAATGTTTCAAATACGCTTCTCGTTCTTTTAGAAGATAAAATATCTTTCGCCACCCTCTTTAATCCAGATACGAAGGTGAAACATTTTCGGAAGCTCGGAAAGACGAGCCGGCGAGGCTTTGACGTATGGAAGATGTCAGTTGCGGGCTGGCACAGTGGTGTCGTCGATTCGTCTTCCCTTTAGCCGCCACCTTTCGCGAATCCTTTCTGTTTCGCTATCCTTTACGTTATATAAATGATGCCTGCGTCTGGTAGCCGCTGGCAAAATTCCGTCGGCCTCACCATAGATTATTCTATTTTCGGAGCTCTTCGATTTATCAATTGGTTTCTTCTGGTTCCTCCTAGAGAGTCTGTTAAATTTCGTCGACACACTAGTGACTAGATAAATAAAGATAAAATGTTGGCCTACATTTGTGCCTCTTTCTATACGTGTATCTACCGATATTGGTTTCATTCTACTACTATTAATTATTTTTGTTAATAAATCCAGCAAAAAAAATGTTTAATAAATAGAACTTATTAAATAGTATTTAGAAAATAGCTGATAATGAAATTACAAATTGGACAATATTTAATTACAAAAATTAATTTTGTTTGCAAA